CTGAAGTCAGTCTCCTGGGAGAGGGGTGACCTGGCTGATGGCCCCTGGTCCCAGGACCGTGTATGCATCTTACATTAGGAAGTCATTGATTAGAAAATAGAAATATTCCTCCTGAGCAGGAAATGGAGCATACCTCTGAAGACTTGTGATAGTCATTCTTCTGCCACGGTTACTTCCTTTTTTAACCAATGGGCGTGTCTACACATGACCCTGATGCTACATCACTGTAGTGATGAGCTATATTGCCATAGCTCATCGCTACAGTGATGTAATGTCTTGTGTAGATGCAGCCAATGACTAGCTGTGTAAACTGAGAATATTCTCACATTTCTTGGACCATCACAGCTATAACAATACTCCAGGCCTCCTATTAATTTAAACTGAATAATTCATACATGTTAGCGCTTGTGAAGTTGGCTAGAAAAGAGCTTCCCATTTCTTCCTGATCTTCAATAACACTTTTCTTATGGGGAAAATAAAAAGCCCAGACTATAAAACTACTGTGTTCAACCCAAGTATGTTTCCTAGTTCATTTTATGTCTTTATTTGCTTCCTTTATTTAATTATTTTATTTCATGAGGAAGAAAGGATATGGGACCAAAATACAGAATTTTCCAATTTTTAATCTAGATTATAATGTTACTCAAGACATCTATTTATTGTTGTTAATTTTTTTAATGTGATGTATGATTGAAAACACACAAGGCCAAATTCACTGTTGATATAAGTTATAAATGGTAAATTTTCCAGCCATAAGAATAGTATTTCAACAGCATATTGTCAGGGCAATGCTCCAGATTTCCTATCAACTTCTACGTCTTTATATTTAGTAACAGTATTGCTGTTCTAATTTGGCTTAAGTCACTGCTAGAACTCCCTTTGTTTTATTAATTCTAGGATTTTAAAGAGCCAGACACCTACATCAGAACACTTAATGGCTAAAAGTGATCAATGCTATGATAACTATGTAGGGTTGCCCATCCCATGTAAATTGCTGAATTTGTGTTTATACATATTTAACATATAGTTTTGGCAGGCTCTATAATGTGATTAGGTTATTCTTCTTGTAATAAACACTTTGGAATTAATGGTTGAATGCATCTTGTTGGAAATAATTTGAAGCTATATTGGCAAAGCAAATATGGCTTGCTTTACCGCTGTCAGGTCCATAAATGGTGCCCTTAAATGAGCAAATGTCCAATTTACTGAGGTCTTTTAACTGTGCCAATATCTGGAGGCTTGTTGGACTAACTTGGCCACTGCTAAATCCAGACTTTCAAAATTAGTCAGTTTAGTTGAGCAAAAATCCTTTGACTGAACAAAATTCACCATTTATTAATTTTGGTTCTCTCTATGCATAAAATTGCAATTACCTACAGAAATAGATACTTAATTGTACTGTCAGTTACCCTGTGTACACACTCAAAGAGCCTGTCTTATGCACTCAAATGCATGTTTTGCACATATGGCATATGTGCATTAATTTTGTGGATGCAATTTAGGTGCTTCTAAAAATGTGGCTCCTACTTCCAATCTTAGAATTTTCAGGAATGTAATTAAAGCAATCCTGCACTTTTAAATTGACATCTGCCCCTGAATAGCCTGTACCACAAGGCTTTGCATGATCATATTCATGTTTGCATGGTAGTGTTTCATGGTTAATACAAATCATAAACAGGCTATAAAAGCTGAAGCATCAATGAATCCTGGTTTTAAAATTGCTTGGAGCTAAAGTTTTAAAACCGATACTGCAAAGTGAAAAATGAAATTTAACCAGGCATTTTGGTGAAGGAAAAGTAATTTATTGGATGTAAGATGAAAAGCTGTGAGAGTAAACATCAATCTCATCTTAGACACATGTCATTGATTGATGTTTGCTCTGTGCTGCTGCCTGGAGGTAAACTCTTTGAAATAGCAAAGTAAGTACTTTATCTGTCTGTGGATAGGAGCACAGTTTGTTAAGTTACTGCTTTTTTGAGCCCCTTCTACATCTTTATGCTCAATCAAAGAGAAAACAGTAAATCAGTGTAATTGCTTTCCCCCATGGCATATCTATTTGTAAATGGGGAAAATACTGTAAAAATCCTCAAATTAACTTCTGCTGTTTTAAACTAGATTAAAAGTCTTAAAATGTCACTTGTAGTCCAGCATAACATTTAATTGATTATGTCACTTATTCATCAAAGGCTGACTCTTCCTTCTAATTGAACCAATGGCTTAAATTTCATTAGGGAAAGCATTTAACCCTCAGAAATGTAAAGCTGTCATCTCTAAGAGCTCACCGTAATCCATTAGCAGTCAGTTTTTGAAATAGTCATCATTTTTATTTAGCTGAAAATGGAACTGTTATCAATAAATTGGCCAGCAGAGAACCTAGGCATAATCAATTAAATGGAAAGCAAAACAAACGTGAAATGGTAGCACTGTTGTGCTACATGGCAGTTCAGCAAGCAAAATAGTTTGTTGCACTATAATTAAATTGTCAGCATTAAAATGGTTTCTAAAAATATCTTGCTCTGTTGCCTTAAAAAGTTTCTGGAGGGCCAATCTTTCTGTGATTCAACGTAAGGTACATACAACCTAGGGCTATGCGAAGCTTTGGTTCCTGATTTGATTCGGTGGAGATTTGGCCCGATTTGGTGGCTGAATCTCTGAATCTGAATGAAATCAGAGGATCCTTTAATCTCTCTGAATACAATCGGAAACCTCTGAATCGATTCAGAGAGATTCGGAAAGATTCAGCAATTTGGACATAGATGCAGCTTTAAATGTTTTTTCTACATACCTGTAGGTACCAGTGCAGCTTGTGAGCGCTGTCATGCTGGAGCACATGGAGTGTCCCACAGAAGTGTGCGGGACTCCCCAGCGCACCAGCAGCAGACCCGGAAGTGGACCAGAAGCACTTCTGGACCACTTCTGGGTCTGCTAGGGGCATGCAGGCCCCCCCCACCCCGCATCCCCCTGGCTCGGCAGAGCAGCCCCTGACAGGCTTTTCCTCAGCTCCCCGCTTGAGCAGAGGTGGGGGTGTGGCCAGAAGCCAGACCTGGTTGGCATGCAGAGGCAAAAGGTGGGGAGGGGGGTTTAAACCCCCTCCCCCATTCACATGGGGCCCCAACCATGGTCTGTTTGGGAGGGGCAGAACAGCCCCTGACAGGCTTTTCACCACTTTCTGCTTCAGTGGAGGGGGTGGAGGACATGGCCACATGCTAGCCTGGGTGGGCACATTGAGGTAGAGGGAAGGGAGGAGGATTTAAACTCCCAGCCCCGCCCACACAGAACTCCAGCTTGGTCTGTTTGGAAGGGGCTGAACAATCCCTGACAGGTTTGTCCCCACTTGATGCTTCAGCAGAGGGGGTGGTGGGATGTGGCCAGATACCATCGGAGATTGGGATGCTGAGGTGGAGGGAAAGGAATGGGTTTAAACCCTCTCCCCTGCCCACATGGGACCCCAGCAGGGTCTGCTTGTCATGGGTGAAGCAGTCATTGACAGGCTCTCCATTTGAGACCTCTCCATTTGAGTGGGGATCTGGGAAAAAGCCAGGCAGGGACTGCTCCACCCCTGCCAAGCAGGCCTCTGCTGGGGTCCCATGGGGGCCGGGGAGGGGGTTTAAACCCTCCCCCGCACCCATGTGTGCTGACCCAGGCCAGGGTCTGGCCACCCTGCTCCCCTTACTCCAGCAGAGCAGGGGAAAAGCCTGGCAGGGGCTGGTCCCATTCCCTCCCCCACCCCCAACACCATGGCTTGGGGTCTGTGCAGGCCAGGCTGGGGGTTTAAACTTCCCCCACCCCGCATCATACTTGGCAGACCTGCCAAGACCTGGCCAACCCCTCCCTGCCCCCCCGCCCCCCCCAGTCCAAGCAAGGAGGGAGGAAAAGCCTCAGAGGGCTTTTCTCCCAGTTTCCCTCCAGCCTTTCAGCCACTGCAGAAGGGAAGGGAAGGGAAGGGAAGGGAAGGGAAGGGAAGGAGTGCTCTAGTGCCCCCCTGCTTGTGACCTGAGGCATTGCAGGCATGTGGCTGCATTTCTGGAATCAAAAGTAAATGTCTGTTCATTTGCTTTTTGGTTCAATCTATGCAGTTTAGACTAACCTGCAAAGATTGAATTTATTCAGCCTCAGGCTTTTTGACGGTCTGTACTTAGCTTATAAATTCCATGATATTAGAGGTAGGTATTGCAAATTTGTGGAGGTCCATAGTGGAGGCTGTTAATGCTGATGAAAGAAGAAGAGAGCATAGGGCATAGGAGACCAAGTTCAGGTGCCCAGATACCTATGAACAATAGTGAAAAAAAAGTTCTGCATCTGAAAATGGTATGTAGGTAACCTCCAAACAGATTTTAAAACTCTACTTTGAAATGGAAAGGTTGTTTTACCACCAAAATAAATTATTCTGTGTTAATGTGAAAAAAGAGTTGCATGTTGTTTTTCAGTTATGAGTGTTCATGGCCTCAAATCTAATGAACTGTTCAGGGAAGAAACCTGAATAGGAAATTACTGCCAAAGAACAAATCCACTTTCCAAATAAAATAGTCATATGAGCTACAAATCTAATTACAATATTAGTTGCTTCTGCTAAAACTGTTTGAATACATTTGCATTAAAATAAAAACTTTGAAATTTGAGGACTACTAGGCCAAATCTTTAGCATCAGTAGATCGCTAGGTCCAGAAACTTGGACTGGAGATGTAGGACCATGACTAGGTCAGTTTGTATATACTTCATTGAAATCTCCTGTCCTGCACATAGTTTGGGTTGAGGCAGCAGATGTTATTTGTTGCCTTTCCCCAGGTTTTGTCTTGAGAGTGAACTGAGAAAAAAGCCAGGTACATGACAGATTCTAGAGAAATTACACTTTCTCCCCTAATGTGTATCTCTTACATCCTCAAGGACATCAAGTGGTGCAAGGTTGGAGGTCTCCTCAGAGGTATAACTAGCTGTTCCTCAGTGTGTGTGTGGGGGTGGGGCGGGGCAGGGCGGGGCAGGGAGGAGAGAAAGGAGGTGGGAGGGAGTGTATTGTGCTAAGCATCAGTGATTGGGAGTGCTGAAAGGGAGAATTGTGTCTGACAGGGCCCAGTCTCACCACTCTGGCTGCTGCTGCTGCTGCATGGACTTGGGCTGCAGTGGCTGCAGGACAGGCTTTCTGCACTCCAGCTACATTATCCCCCACAACATGGGCTCCCCAGGGGTCACCATTCTGGTACCCCTCTAAATTGATAACTAGGTCTGGTGCCCTGATTGCCCATATCTAGTTACACTACTGGGTCTTATAGAAACAAAATTATAGTATGTCTCCTGAAGTTCCACAGGTACTTTCCAAAGGGTCAACAGTACTGTGGTACAGAGGTTCCCAACCACCAGTCCTGGGCCACAAGGGATTGGCTTTTGGGTTCTGGCATGAGCCCCCAACTCAGTTCCCTGTCTAACCACCTGGATGAGTGGCTTCCACCACTGGCAGTCACATGTGGGGTTAAAGCTGGGCAGTGGGGCAGCACTGGGAGGGAGGCAGCCAGCTCCATATGCCCCCTCCTGCTCCAGTGCCGGTTCATGATATAAAAAAGGTTGGGAACCACTGCTGTGGAAGACAGGCAGGTTTTTGGTAGTGGCATATAGTATCTCAACAAGGATGAGGGGATGATTTAGTTATTGGAAAGAGTCCTGTTCTGGTGGACTGAATGCCACTGACCACTGGAGAATTTAGGAACAGATAATGAAAATGAGTGTGTGGGTGGGTGGTCTCAACTACCTCTTTCAATCTTAGAGATTATTCTTTTCAATCTGAATTATTCCAATTCTTGGTGTCTCCAGCGAATAGACTGGTTCCAAAAAGGTTTGAGAACAAGAAGCTCCTGAGTTTCTGCAGATGCAGGGGGAAATGTTTCTTTTGAAGTTTAGTTGAACAGTCAGCCCTATAGTGTTCTTGTTACCATTTTGTTTCAACCCCCACCACTTTCAGGAAAGACCAGTATTGCAAAGAATTTCCCCTCACATTTCAGAGAGTCTAGGCAACTCTCCTTGGCTCATTCCAGTAGGGGCTCATGTTTCAATAGTACACTTCTTAAGAAGTTTCAGTCTACCTAGGCCTTGTACTGTTCTAGTCTGTAGCATTGCATAATCTGACCATAAACCCTTTAAATTTTTAATTATCAGGTCGTTTATTCTTAGTACTATAGTGCAGCCTAGGAGAAACAGTGACCAGAACATCCTCTAAGCCGGATATCAGCTCCTGTTTTTTCATAGAGTTTGATTACCCAGATAAGCTTGCTAGACTTTATTCTGAAAGGCCAACTCCAGGGTAACTCAAGGAGATCATTGAATCATAGAAATTTAGTGTTGGAAGAGACCTCAGGAGGGCATCTAGTCTAACCCCCTGCTCAAAGGACCATCTCCAAGTAGATCATTTCAGCCAGAGCTTTCTTGAGCCAGGCCTTACAAACCTTGAAGGGTAGAGATTCCACCACCTCTCTAGGTAACCCATTCCAGTGCTTCAGCACCCTCCTAGTGAGAGAGTTTTTCTTGTCAGTGCAGAGGCAGAAAAGGATCTTGGAATCATTATTGATGCCAAAATGAACATGGGCCGACAGTGTGGGGACGCGGTCAGGAAGGCCAACCACACCTTGTCATGCATCCACAGATGCATCTTGAGCAGGTCCAAGGAGGTGATCCTCCCCCTCTATGCGGCACTGGTCAGGCTGCAGTTGGAGTACTATGTCCAGTTCTGGGCACCAAACTTCAGGAGGGATGTGGACAGCATTGAGAGGGTCCAGAGGAGGGCCACCCACATGATCAGGAGGCAGCAGGGCAGGCCCTACGAGGAGAGGCTAAGGGACCTGAACCTGTTCAGCCTCCACAAGAGAAGACTGAGGGGGGATCTAGTGGCCTGTTATAAACTAGTCAGAGGGGACCAGCAGGCATTGGGGGAGTC